TAGCAATTTGTAATAGTGCGCTATTGTTGCTGGGCTAGTGTAAAAAAAACGAGTAAATGTAAGATAAATGCACTCACTTTTCCTTATAAATACACCATACACCACATTTACTGTGGAAGTGATACATGCATGTCTGCATGTGTTAAATCCTCTCCACTGAGATGTATGGTAAGGCCAGTGGAGGGTAGTTATCACAGGCAGGTTGATGTAGCACCAGACACAAGACGTGTCCAGCAACTTTCTTGCCGTAGACGAGGCTGGAACTTTGCCATGTAGTGCACCATTTCACAGTTTTACAGGCAAGGGAAGCTGTATGTATGTACATAGGTGTTCTGAAGTGAGACCTGATACAGTCTGGCTCTATAGTGAAAACGCCCATCTGTGACACAGCTGCATAGGGGTCCAATGGCGCCGCCTGCTCCTGTGAGGACACGCAAGGAAACACTGCCTCTACCGTTCTACCGTTCATAGTATATACGCACAGCAACTCTGAAGTCTACAGACATTGGAAGTCACGGAGGGAAAGTCTGTTTTTCTCACCTCCTGGCCCATATCTCCGTTCATAAAGTCTCCGAGGTCCTGTTGCTGCTGCTGCATCAGAGGTGCCTGCCCGGTCTGCGCGGGGGAGGAGAGAAGTTGTGACAAGTAACTGATCTTTCTCTCTCGGCTCTCTGTCTTGCCTCAGAGTCCCCTACTCCGACGCCCAGGGTCTCTCCCGCTATGTCAGCCAGTTCGTCCTGCTCCCTGGCCAGGAAGGCAGCGGCGGGGTCCTCCTCGAAGCCAGTTATGGTCTGACCCGTCTCTTCCATGTCGGCCATCTTTGTGCCCGTAATTTCCTGGGTTCCTATTGCGCATGCGCAGAATTGCTATATTATTTCTCGATTTCAGTGGCGGCCGCTTTCAAGATGGTGAGTCCATGTGGGGCTGTGTATCTGTGGAAATCCATGGCTGGGGGAGAGGGGATGGCTAGGCAAGGTGTTTTGCTGACTCCAGGTCCCTCCATTTGCAGGCGTTGATAATCCCGGACAAGTTCCAGCACATCTTGCGTATCCTGAACACCAACATCGATGGAAAGCAGAAGATCATGCTGGGCCTCACTGCTATCAAGGTCAGTCGCTTATCTTTACCTCCTGCGACCTCTGATGCTGTGTTAGGCTATGTTGATTGAGTTGTTTCACGTTTCAGGGGGTCGGTAGACGGTATGCCAACCTCGTCTGTAAGAAGGCTGACGTAGACATGAGAAAGAGAGCCGGGGAACTGTCGGAAGAGGAGGTAGGAACTACCAAACAGGCATAAATGACTAACATCTCCCCTGGTGTTACTCTCTCCAGATTGAGAGGATCATAACCATCATGCAAAACCCGCGGCAGTACAAGATCCCGGACTGGTTTATGAACAGGCAGAAGGATATACGAGACGGAAAATACTCTCAACTGCTGGCCAACCAGTTGGACCACAAGTTGAGGGAGGACCTGGAGAGACTCAAGAAGATCCGGGCCCATCGCGGCCTTAGACACTACTGGGGGTGAGTTACTTTGCCTCTGAGATAACATCATCATCTTAGTGTTTCGTGACTTTCTCTCTTTCCCACCCCTCCTCCCATACGTCAATATCCTTTAAACTGCCAAGTGTTCATGCTTGGGAGCGTTAGTTTTCATGCTCAGTCATGTTATAACCTTGCGATGCTATCCTTATCCCTCTTCTCCTTGCTCCAATGCACAGTCTCCGTGTGAGAGGACAGCACACCAAGACCACAGGGAGAAGAGGAAGGACAGTGGGTGTGTCAAAGAAGAAGTGAACTAACTCGTCTTGTTCACACGTTGTATATACCATCGTTTGGATCTATGTCCATGAAGTGAAAAAATATTTGTGAAAATTCTAAAATTGTGTCAAAGTGGCGTGCAACAATTAGAACACTTGCACACGACTGTTGCCATAGTCACAGACATACAAGTATCCGTCGAGGTCCATGGCAACTCCTGAGGGGTTCTGAAACTGTCCGCTGGCTGTTCCATAGCTCCCTGTTGCCATGACAAACTCGCCACTGATGGTCAGTACCACCACCTGGTTCCCTCCCCGGTCCGCTATGAACATCTGCTCTCCTTCAATTGCAATCCCACTGGGGGCAAACTCGTCGTCGTGGGGATGACCTATGGACTTTATGTGTGTTCCAGTCTTGTCATAGACATGGACGTGCTGACCCAGTGTATCAGTCACGTACATGTTGCCAGAGCCATCGAGAGCAATAGAGTGTGGAGATTCCAGGCTAGTCGACTCTGTCTGTGGATACTCGTCTTCCAGAGAGCAAGAAAGATCCCCGAATTTCTCAATGAGCTTCAGATCAGTGTCAAATACCGCCACCTGTTGGGAGCCGTTTTCGCACACATACACGCGATCCTCGGCTGCGTTGAGACTCACTCCGTGTGGCTCGCTGAGTCCCGTATACTGCGCCAGGTGGTGCCCCGTTCGAGAGAGCTTCTGCACTCGTCCGATGTCCTTACCGTCTGCCACGTACACGTCTCCACCGCTGCTCACTGCGATCCCTGTCGGGTGGACAATCTGGCCAGGTTTCTGCCCCTTGTGACAGAGATTCCTCACTAGCTTCCCGTCCTTGTCCCACACCGAGATCCTGTGGTTGTAGTTCTCCGTGACGTATACGTAGCGGTCTCTATGGCTACAGGCCACGCCCCAAGGCCACTCCTTTCTCTCCAGAACCTTCTCGGGCTGACCGAGGTCGAGTTTGGACGAGCGTACGGGGACACGAAGCGGTGAGTCGGTCATCTCTACTCCTCCAATCTCGACTGACACAAGATGCTCTCCTTTCTTGGTCGGAGTGAAACAGATGAAGTAGGTCCCCACAGACAGAGCTGGCGATACTAATGTCTTCACTTCCAACTCAAACCTTGGGACGGTGACCTTCACACGTGGGGACAGAGGCTCGACGCACGGTTTATTGTCTTTCGCAAGAGCAGAGAAGACAATTTGCACTTCTTGTCCTACTTCAGCCACGGCAGATTTCGCCTTCTGTAGCCTTGACTCGTCTAGACTTACAACAAGGCTTCTCGTGGTCACCTCCAGACAGGCAGACTCAATTTCCCTGGCAGACGACAGGGGCAGGGAGAGGTTGGGGAACTCGGGAGGGACCAGGGGAGCTGTGCTTGGTTTGCGAACCGCCACCTCCTTCAAACGGGTCTGCAGGTCTCGACGCAGGACCATGAACTCCTGGTCGCTGGTATAGAGGAGGGCCTCACTGCACGCCTGGATCAGGACCTCCAACTCCGCAGTCTTGGTCTCGAGTCGAGACAAATCCAGCGACACCTTTTCCGACTCCTCCTCGGCTTTCTTCTCCGCCTCCCTCACCAGTTTCCTCTTCCTGTGCTCCAGCTCCAACTGTAGCTCCTGAAACACGTGGTCCAGCGTGCGACACAGCTCTCTCTTCTGCTCAGCCAGCTCTCCAAGTAGCCTGGTCTTCTCTGCCGAGGTCCGCCGAGCTTCTGCCAGGAGTCCGCGGACTGCAGACACGCCCGCCTCCAAGTCTGATTTGTGCTTCACAACGAGTTTGTCGACTAGTTCGGTCCTGTGTCGCGGCTGAGAGTGGTCCTTCACGGTGCAGTCGTGACAGATGAGGGCGTTGCAGGTGACGCAGTAGAGCTTCAGCGGCTCTCCTTCGTGCGTCGGGCACTTCATGACCGAGCTGGAGACCACGGACGCAGCTCGAAGCCGCGCGCCAGTAAAGCTGGGGTTCTCTTTAGCGGTCGGGCTGGTGACGGCACATCCCAGCTCTCTAGCGTATTCCTCTATCTCGACCACGACGTGGTTGGAGAGAGACCGTAACCTTCCGTGTGCAGCTCGGCACTCGCCGCAGAGAACCCGCTCGCAGTCCCGACAGAACGAGGTGAGCTGGGCCTCTTGTTTCCCGCACTCTTCGCATCCCTTCCCGCCCGCCACCAGCTCCAGTCGGACACACGAACGAGTCATATGCTCCTTGAAGAAGGCGGCGGGGAGGCTGTCCAGCCCGTTCTTCGTCAGCTCCGCTTCTTTCTCGCATGCCGGGCACGACACGATGTAGTCCAACCCGCGCCCCTTCCTGACACCCTTCTTGAGCGGGAGGCAGTCTCGGCACACGGAGTGGTTGCACGGCAACAGCTTCGGCTCCTTGAACCTCTCGTGACACTTCGGGCATGTCGTTTGCCGCCTCAGTCGGCGTAGCAGCGGTCCTCCAGGCAACCCTTCTGCCGCCATATCTTCACAGTCTGCTCCAGCACGCGACCGAATCCATGGACGGGTCGGACAATCCGCGTATTGCGCACACGATATTGATACGGGGCAATTTTTTTACCGTCACAACACCATACGGACAAATGACACCTGTGCTTTAAATAACATATAGACATATTTAGAAGAGAGGAGAGAGAGAGGTAGGTGTGTTTGTAGAGAGATAAATAAGCGCTATAACTTGATAAGGGATTTCTCGACCTGCGGCAGAAAAGAGACACAGTGCCTAATTCGACGGGCACAACACAGCAGTCAACAGCTCACCTCCTGTCTCAGTCGGACCTCCTCCTGACTGATAACCACCCTGATCTTATCCACCCACGCCTGAGCCAAGCTTGCCGTCTTGGCCGAGTACTTGCTCTGGTTCCCCAGCCCATCCACCAGCACAAACGTCTTGTCACTCATCTTGGGGTCTCTGTACTTTACTCTGCACTCTTTCAGAGGGATCTTCTTTACTTTTTCCTTGCCCTGCGGAATACATACAACAGGTGAGAGGGGGGGGAGACAGACTGAATGTGGGTGGCAATAAAAACAACACAATGTTTCTTTTAGATTTCTAAACTGAAAGTGAAAGAAATAGGGAGAGAAAGGGGGAAGTGGAGAGGGAGAGAGAAAAGGAGTAACTGCCACAAGTTGAATTTTCCCCATAAGCTTCCTGATATTGTAAATAGTTAAGAGTGTATGTGCAACCCAAGGTCATGTGCTCAAGGTCTTGCTTCACACAGTGAAACATGCCAAGGTTCTCACACGAGTGGAGACACTCACCGATTTCTTGGGTCTTGGTTTGGAGCTGTGGAGTATGAGTGAGTTCTCAGTCAGCTGGACCCTGTACTTCACCTTCCTGCGAGGAGTCAGCGACACAGTCGACTTGTTGGCTTTCTTCCACACCTTTCGCCTCAAGAAACCTGCAACAGACCAATAGCAGCCAAAATATAAATCCTCCAACAGTTCAGAATGAGACATGTTAGGTGTCTGACCTTCTTGGAGGGTGGTGGTGCTGATGTCCACGAGGTTGATCATGAGACCTTCGACCTCTTCCTCCTCCTCTTCCTCCTCCAGCCCCACTCCCTCCATACTCTCACTGCTAGAGCTAGACGACACTGCAGACAGACGCACACACACAGAGAGAGAGAGATAAATTTTGGATAAATTTTGACTGCCTTGAAGTGAATATTTTTGGGGGAAAAGTCGTTTGATGTTTGCCAATTCAAATTGTGGAGATCATTAGCCATTCCCTTTGTTTTACAAAGGCTTTCTTTCGCCAACTGTTTTGCAACGTTATAAAGACATAAGATGAGAGGGCCGTGTCTCACAGTTGCCAAGGGACCCAGTGGGTGTCCCGGAGAAGGATGTTCCGGTGGTAAAAGTCGTGTCGAGAATGCTGTCGTCAATGAGACTCAGTGCAGTCTGCTGGTGTGTCAGTTCTGGGGACGCCGTAGTACTGCAATATATGTACACCAGGGGAGGGCATAGTAACATATAGGAAAACAGAGGGGTATACAGTGGAACCCCGTCATATTAAAAGAATGGGGATACCCCTCTAATAAGCACACCTCTATAAGGTCACCACTGAAATGTAATAGGGACACCGCTAGGTATATTCTGTTTCAATTGCAAACACTTATAATGAGGAAACAGAGTGTGGATATAGCAGTTTGCATACCTGGACGATGAGGCAGTGGATTGTTTGGCATTCTTCCCTATTCCAAGAACTGCCAAAACACTAAAAAACAAGATTTTTTATTTCCCAAATAAGGACACCGATGAGAAGGACCTACTTGGTGCCAACGCTGAAAGACTTCCGATGCCGTCGGTGCCACTGGGCGGGCGACTCCCTGGGACTCCGCCCCATGACGGGCGGAGCTGAGGGTGGCGGCTGCATTACCGTCTCTTTCACCGGTGTCCCTGCACTCTCCGAGCCCCTCACGTTAGTCCGAGACGAGGTAGCTGACGAGGAAGAAGATGACGATGAGGAGGGAGCGGGATGGAAATGAGGGGGCCAATCCCCCGAGTGTTCACCCTCTCGAGGCAGCGTAAAACTCCGCCCCTTGGTGGTGGGGGCAGGGCTGTTGTAGACGGTAATCTGAATGTCTCCCGAAGGATCTTCTTCATCGTTGAGGATAGCGCTCAGTCGAACCGATTCCTTCTTGATTTCTTCGCTGCTCGCGTCTCCGAGAGTGTGTCGTAGAGTTCGAGTCCTTTGCTGGGGCTGCGGAGTCCAGATCTTCACTGACGAGTGGGCGGTGTCGGATGGGGCGGAGTCTCGAGTGGCGGCAGAGGCGAAGGGGGTGAGGAGGTCCTCGTGGCTCTTGGAGGTTCGGAGCGCAGGGGAGGGTCGGGCGATGGCGGTGGTGGTGGGTGTGGCTCGTCGGAGCTGTACCAGATCAGGCTCACGTTTGAGAGACAATCTGAAGAGATGAGAGAAAGAGAGGGGAGAGATGAGAGAGAGAGAGAGGGGAGAGATGAGAGAAAGAAGGTACAAACAGTCTGCCATTAGTTATTGCATGTACATGCTCATACAAAAGCATGCATTTTGATAGAGTGAAACAAGCGGAACACAAAGAGAGTTAAGGAACGGTTCGAAAGGTGGAGTGTGATGAAACCCACTGATATTGTTCCTCCTCAAAGAACTTGAGGAGTTCGTCGATGTAGCGAGTATGTCGGAGATACTTCTGAATGTGAACCTCGGGATTCAGATCATCTGCAGCAGAGAGAGAGAGAGTCTTGCCTTGAACGATTATCAATCTTTGTTGTGCCACTCACCATAGGACGAGTTCTGACAGTAGGCAATCATGTTCAAGACCGTCTCCATCTACACACACACACACACACACACAATGTACCACTAACGAAATTCAGGTGTCAGCAAAACTATTGGAACTAAAATGTTTCAACTAATGACTAACAGGAACACACACAGTACTTTCAATTTGCATGAAAAGTGAAAATATGTGGAAGCTTGTGAGGTATATACATGCAGAATGTGCACTAATTAGGTCCACACCGACAAAACTGCCAGCTTTAAATATTCCCTCTCCACCACGCGCGAGGCTATGTAGATAATGAGACAGACCTGTCTGGATGCCTTCTGGGCGACCTTGTCTGGCAGGGCGTGTATGTAGGTGAGGTCGGTGAGATAGGGGCCAAGGTGAGGGATGCAGGGGAGACGAGCTGCGTCCATGTGCTCCCTCATCTGCCTCCTACGGCCAGTGAGAAAAGGGTTAAAGTGGGCATCCACAAATTTTTATAAAACTTCGTTGTGTTGTTTGCTTTGCTATGCAACTTTGTTGTTGTTTACATGGCGTGAATACCTACATACATAAGTACAACAAAATGTTTTACTAACAAACGTACTATGCCACTACAATGCTTGAACAAGCAATCTGCTCTAAAAGCTAAAGAGATTGTAGTTGACCCATATTAGTGTGCTACATATGGTATATAGAAACTACAACTGAAAGTGAGAGTGAAGTGGAGTAGAGTAGAGGAGCTGACCAGTTGTCGGTCTCAGACACAAAGTCCTGCAGTCTCTCGTAGACGGCCTTGTCTTTCTTGTGGACACATTTCCAGGTCTGAGTCAGTCTGAAGATGGTACGGCTCTGCAATGCTGACACCACGGCCTTCAGAGAATGGATGTTGTTCAGGTCCAGCAGTTTCTGAGTGGAGCAAAGAGGGAGGGAGGAGGGAGGGAGGGATAATATTGATACAGGGAAACCACTGAACAAGGGACCCCTTAGGAACATCGAAAGTGTCCTTTATTCAGAGGTGTCCCCTTATTCTGTGCTAGCACGGACAGAAACCAAGTGTCCTTTATTCAGAGGGTCCTTTATTCAGAGGGTCCTTTATTCAGAGGGTCCTTTTTTGGGGGTTTCATTGTCAGTGAGTTTGGATGCACTCTGACCTTTGATATCTTGATGAACTGCGTGAGTATTTCTGCTCTCACTCTCAAAATTGGCTCCTTTAGAATCTCCTGCACCACCCAGAAACTGGTCTGTGGGGAGGAGAGAGGGAAGGAGGAGGGTGGAAGGTTCTGAAGGAAGGGTGAAGCACAGAATACTCACGTGGTTAAATTTCTTGGTGAAGGCTACAATATTTGGTGCTAGTCTCAATTTGTCTTTCTTGGTCCAGCCACACCCCCGAAACTCCTGTCAGAGAAAAGGTGAGAGGGGATCGAAGAATACAAGAACACACACACACACAATGTATGTGTCAAAATTGTCTGCCACACCATAGGGTGAGGGTGAGGCTAGCACATGCAATGGGGTGATCTTAAAGCCACATAAGGTTAGGTAAACACACACGTGTATGTGCAGAGTGTAGAATGATGACGCAGTGACAAGGAGGCTTGCTGGCTACACTGGCATAATAATGCTAGCGACAGATGTAGAGAAACAACGTGAATGAGTAGTTTACCTCAATTTGAATGGCCATGAACAGCGGCAGGTCGATCAGAGTCATTTGAGCCTGCAATGACACAGATATTGAGCACCTGAAATACACTCATCATACAGTGGAACCTCTGAACAAGGGACACTATTGGGCCAACAATATTGTCCCTTGTAGAGAGGTCGTCCCTATCTCGGAGGTCAACTATTACACTAAAGTATTAGCATGGGGTTGAAACAAGTGTCCTTTGCAGAGAGGTCATCCTTTATCAGAGGATCCACTGTACTAGTATAAATTACAGTCTTTCACACTCTTATTTGCTTGTGTGTGTGTGTGTGTGTGTGTGTTACTGACGGCTATCTTCTCTGGACTGATTTTCCTGATGTCGAAGAGGACTTCGTCGTAGCTCTTTGTTCTGAAGAGCTCTGGACTGTCTGACTCATCTGCCTGTGAAGAGGAGGAGGAGGAGGAGGAGAGAAAGAATAGAAATGCCACTATAATTATACACAGTTGTAATATATATGGCCATCAGATCTATTACACATCTCTCATTCACAGCCAAAGTGTCAGATCACGACATCATCCTTATTACACCGGATTATTTATAAGTCATTCAGTGTGCTATTTTTAGACTCTTTCAGTATCGTTTTGTTGCTATATTTAGCCTCACCAGTGAGTATGGAGGACTGAGTGGAGTAGGGGAGGCGGGGATGCTTCCATTAGAGATGATGTAATGTCCGTTGGGTCTGGTGGGCATGGCACCACTGTCGTCACCGACTGTGTCCTGGTTGATTATCTTCTTACGAGCAAAGCTGGACATGACTGAGAGAAGAGAGGAGAAAAGGAGTAAGTTTATCTTTCACAATGGCAGCGACCCCCAAAACCCACAGTGTTTGTTTTAACCTCAGAGAGGGGAGCCAGAAAAGGGGACCACTTCTTGCACTACCCCCAAACATGGGACATTCCAGAAGAACTGACTCAAAAGCATTCCAGGAAGTGAGGCTTTTCATGGAGAGTGATACTGAAACCAACATTCCAAGGATGTTGCCAACACACAATGTGTTAATTCCACAACATTACCATGACTATGATGAGATCACTCCCTAATTCCACTGCACCACTAATGTACAGTGTATTTCCCTTAAAAACATGTTTTATGCAAGGTAGCAGTTGATGTGCTGAAACTGGTGATCTTATCTGGTGACTTTCACTATGACCTTTCACTATCCACTCACCTGAAGGTAAACCCCTTTAATCACCACACCTACACACACACCACCAACCCAGTTGCACACTCTCTAAACACATACAGTATTCAGAGCAAATCCTGGAGTTAATGGACTTTCAAAGGACATGTCACACACAACGCTGAAAGCACTGCCAGTTAATACTAACTCGATTGATACAGCGAAAGGACACACTTGGAACAGAAAACACATCTCTGTCAAGGACACTTGTTTCAATTCTTTATTCTTTGCTAATCCTTTGGTGAATGATGCAACCTCTGAGGGGAGGATGAGGTTTCTATATATACCAATGATCATGGTCCAGCATGTTCTTTATCCAGAGGCTCCACGTGTGTATATATATATATATATATATAGCAACTCTATCTATTTATAGCCTTATCCTCCACACACAGGCGTATATATATGTAGCAACTCTATCTATTTATAGTCTCATCCTCCACACACAGGCACAAGACTCTGACCACCAAACAATGTCAATGTAATGGCAAACAAACACGACCACTGCCTCTCATGGAAGGCAGTTACAGAGATACTAGGAGACACCAGACAAGGAGCAGTTGCTGCTCTATGGAAGTGATAACCACTTCAATAAGGAGAGGAATGCACCTTCCTGGGCAGCTCTAGTGGCTTCATTACTCGTTCTCATTCTTTGCCCACTCAGTGACTTCAAAGAAAAAATGTAGCACTTCCAGTGACACACGCATATTATATATAATATATATAATTATATATAATTATATATATTGTGACTTTCACCTTCTACTGTTGATCCAGTTGATCCAGGAGCTATCCACCATCCAGAGCTTACATTACTCATTTATTGGGATCATATTACATACGTTCATTACCCTGCCTTTTAGTACCCAATAGAGAAGTACACACCCTGCCTTATGTACTTCACCACTGCATTAGTATCTATTGTATCTCAGGTCTCATTAGAGCCAATACAGCAGCAGCATGCGTATCTTACATCACAAAGCAGCCCAACACACCAACCTCACACACCAACCTCTTACAAAGAGTGGGTTTGGGAATCCCTTTTCACTGCTTACTTCTGCTTCATTTTTTGCTCATTCAAAACGAGATCTCATCACAATCTAGTCCAATACTAGCACACCTCTCTACTGACGACCAGCGTCTACAATCTCTCTCTATGACCTTAATGGCATGCTGAAAGATGGTGTCCTGAACAGAGGCCAATACAAGCTGTCTCTACAGTGACTGCATTGACTGGTGTGTACGTCTACAGACAGACACTGCAGATAAAACACAGGCAGCACACACTGTCTAACTGGATCTCAATTGCTCCACAACACAGTCAAAGGTGCTATCAGAAGGTAGCTGTATACACTTGGCTCATTTCTGTCGCCAAAAATGCAGCAACGGCTAGGCTGGAAAGCGCCGTTAAATAAACTAAGTATACAGAGCAATCGACAGAGCCAGCTAGTCGAACACACTATCGTTCAACAACTCGCTGCATCAACCCACACGACGAGCTAGCTCCTCGGCTGGTGAGCTAGTCATCACCTGACGATACAGCAGGCAAGAAAAAGTGTCGACCTGGTGGCTGTTTATAAACTGGACTTGGTTATCATAGACTCACCAGCTCTTCGCTCCACGGCTGCCTCGGTCGCCCGGCTATCTTCGCCTCGGTCTCTCGGCTTTTTTCTGTCTGTCTTTGACTGCGAGGAGCCGACACGGTGCATAAGGGTATTCATAGACCTTTGCACCAAAAAAACACACAGGTAATTACACGTGACGTAATTAGAAGTCACATGACTTGTTTAGTGAGTAAGCCACGCCCACTCCGAGATCTCGGCACGGAGTAGTCAGAGATCCAGTGTTTTCGTGTTCTCTTCTGTCAGACAGGGTGGCCTTTCAGCGACTACATGGTGGAACAAAGAACTAAGAGTGAGTTCATTGAGGTGGTAAAATGTCGAACCAATATTGCTCTTTTGTTGCCGTGTCCGCGGGGACAAACGAACTCCTGCTCGCCACAGCTGCCGATCGCGACCTGACAGATGCGATCCGGCGACTAGCTGCCTGCTGTGGCCTGGGTTTTGTGTAAAAAGTATAGCTCTCCTTTTATTCATATCTGCGCAGCCGTGGAGTTCTGTGCAGTCGCTGTAGTAGCTAGCTGCGAAGTTCTTTAAGTGTAGAGCTGAAAATAACTAGCTACGTCGCTTTACTCTAGGCCCAAGCCTTGGAGCCTTGGAGAAAAAGCGGTATAGTGGATCAGATTTATTATCGGCGAAGGAAAACCAACGATAGGGTAAAAGGATATGAACAAGAAAGATTCTGCGAAAGAGAGTGACGTTCTGTGGAAGTACCGGCTGGACAGTCTGTCCGCTACCTACCAGACAGCCTCTAGTTGCTCCCTGGAAGGTCAGGGCTCTAACTCCTGACGCCTTTAGAGAGATTTTAGCTACATCACTTGCGCTTGAAAGCACTTTAGTTGATGTTCTTAATCTGCTATATCTGTTGTTTCACTTTCATTATCTACACGTGTCCAGGAGGAGATGTGTACAAAGGAGGAGGAGGAGGGGAATATGAGGAGAAACCGCTCATCAACAACAAGATGTATCCCTCCTCGCCGCCGGGAGTGGCCGTCTCCAACCTCCCAAGCATCTCTCGAGTGGAGAAAGAAACTGCAATTCTCCAGGCAGCTGTCTTTATCGAAGACGGCGTCAACTACCGTTCCATCTTCCACAAACTAGACCCTCAGTCGCTCAGAGTGTACCGGATATACCACTCTCGCTGGATCCAATGGTCTCTGGCTGTCGTCATCTTCGTCTTCCTAATCCTCGCCTTCTTCGAGTACCCCACCTCTCTCAGTATATCTTCAGACCCAACCATAAGAAAGCACGTCCCTTACTTCAACAACCCTCCCTGTGGCGTCACGGAGTCCATAGAGTTCATCTGCCTCGTCCTTTTTGCAGTCGACTGTGGAGTCAAGTTCTATCTCCTTGGCTGGCGGCGTTTCATCCAGCGCAAGTGGCTCGTCCTCTATCTCGTCATGATAGTCCTCAGTTTCCCCGACATGTTTGTGTCCCTCGGGTTCTGTCCCACCGACGTCGACAACGACACCCCGTCGCTAGGGTACACCCTCCGCTTGCGTCGATTCTTCCGCCCGCTCATCTTCCTCCTGTCGTCGTCCATCATGAAGAAACTGGCCAAGGCCATCAAACTCACCCTCCCTCAGATCTTCAACGTCCTCGTCCTCCTCGTCCTCCATCTCTACGTGTTCACCATGATAGGTCTGCTAATGTTCCCAGGGACGCAGTCACAATCTTCACCCAGCGACACCATCAACAATTCTCTCCTAACAAACGGTTCGTGGTTTTTTGCACCGAACACGACAGATGCAGAGGACTGCTTCACGACGACCTGTTTCCTGAACCAAGAGGGAGACACATACTTCCATACGGTGTGGGACGGATTTGTCAATCTCACCGTGACCCTCACTACCGCCAACCATCCCGACATAATGATGCCCATCTATCGCCGGAACCGTTTTGCTGCGCTCTATTTCATCATCTTCCTCATCATTGGCCTATTCCTCCTCTTCAACGTACTCATCGCGGTCATATACAACCAGTTCAAGGGGTTCTTTCAGAAATCGCTCCAGGGCAGTTTCTTTCGCCGTCGTGTGGCTTACCGAGCGGCGTTCACCATACTATTGAGGAAGACTCGGATCCCTGGCCGCAGAAATCTGGATCTAGTCGGTAGAGACCTAGTGAGAATGCTGCTACAAACGGCAAAGATCGATCAGCGGGTAATCCCACACATGTACCAGCGACTGGAGACAATGGATACTGAGGGAGGAGACTGCATTCGCTGGGAGCAGTTCTGCGAGGTTTTTGACCTCGCGTCGTCACGCGCCGGTTCTCGCTACTGGCGCGGGAGGAGAAAGGAGACGAGACCGTTTTACTGCCGTAACCGCGTCCTCGGTTGGATACAGTTTATTGTCCGTCACCGCTATTTTCGTTGGTACACCCACCTAGTCACGATGCTGAACCTTCTTCTGGTGTCCATTGAACTCCAGAGAACTGACCTCCGCGACCGAAACTCCCTCCTTGTCATCTACAACTTCATCTTCATCTTGTACTATGCCATTGAGCAAGTGTTTCGGGTGGCATTTCTCGGGTTTCGAGAGTACTTTTCGACCCTGGGTAACATCTACGACCTGATTATCACCATGGTGCTGGTTCTGTTGCAGCTGCTGGCCACGGCATTGTTTAGTTCCCCGTTTCAACGGCACAACATCGTGGGCGGCTACGACTCACTCATAAGACTGATGAACGTGTTCATCGTCTTGCGACTTCTGCGATTTGTCCCTCACATCAAGAGACTCTGGATGCTAACAAACACGATGGTGGCACTAATTAAAAACCTCCGCGGGTTCGCCGGGATAATTATCGTCGTCTATTACATGTTTGCTCTCCTCGGGATGGAGATATTCTCAAACGCCAAGATTGTTAACCCCGACAACGTGAACGAGTGTGGTTCGTACGACAATCTCGGGTACTATGCAAACAACTTCAACGATTTCGCTTCTTCCCTTGTGGTCCTGTGGGACATTATGATAGTCAATAACTGGTACGTGTTTCTGAACAAGTTTGCCCGCGACTCTTACCTCCAGGAGTGGTCGAAACTCTACTTCATTGCGTGGTGGTTGGTGTCAGTGGTGGTGTGCGTCAATCTGTTCATCTCGCTGGTCCTGGAGACCTTCCTGGTCCAGTGGCAGGCCACTCTTCTGACACAGGAGCAGCAGGATGATTCCTTTTCGCTATTTCTGATGTGGATTGGAACGGAAGGTGCGGCTTAAGCCAGACTTACAGGTTTTTTGTTGTTGTTTACCTTAGGCCGTCAACTCAGGGTAAGTGTGTTATTTTTTGGGAGTACGGACTTATAGCATACCCCCCATATTGTTCCGTGACAAGCACTTCACTAAGCAGAATTATGTGCTCTTTTCCTCGGCTTTTTTCCATTTTCATTCTCATTTACTTTTCACTTTTCTTTAACTGCTTTTTGCAGAGTACCCCAACTCCTTCTATGTCCTTCTTCCTCCCTCTCTCCTCTTTGTCACTTTGATCACTCACTCACTTTGTCATAAGTGCCAACCAATTTTCATTCTTTTTCGCCGTGACCTTTGCATATCTCCCACATCTTGCCGTGAGTTGCCAGCTGTGGTAGGCCTTGTTCTTATGCATAGTTGCATTGGAAATAATGGCTCCACGCAACCTAACAACCGCACAAGCCTCTCTCCAATCTCCCGTTGACCAAACCCTCGCACCCAGAAGCCCTTTTTCCTATAATTCTTATTACTGCTTACCACTGATTCACTCCTGAGTTGTGTCTGTTCTGTGACATCTATTTCCCACTACACGTCTTTTTTGATTCAATAGAAACTTGGGTGTTATACACCAACGATAAAAGGGGAATACCTATTACCAAAAAATACTCAGATTTACAAGGTTTGACCACCCAATATAAACATTTTCCCTTCGGTGTAAGCCTACCTACAGAATAAACGTTCCAAATGACACCGGCTCTCCTCTCGTTTTCGGGACCCATATGTCCGTTGATTGTCTACCCACCAGCAACCATTGAATTTATTGATGACGAGTCGCATAGTATGTAGTCACAACCTTACTTGGTAGGACAATTGATCCGCGATTTTGTAAGTGAGGATGAGACTTTCTGAGAGGACCAAATTATGCTCTATTGACAAATTTTTTGTTTGTTAATCAGCTTTTTGCAACCTCCTAAACAGGAGCATTATGTTCGAAATTTAACGTGTGGTTATTTCTTATAAATTTCAGACAAAAAAGCAGTTCAAGATGCACCAACAAAGGAATATTGAAAGCCTTTTTCTCACCTAGCATGTTACATCGTGATGCAGTTTTTGTCAACCACTATTTAATTTCCCTCTCCACTTGACGGGTCTGAAATCAAATGCATGAACTTGGTACCTTGTTCGTCACTAACAAGTATCAGTGGTCAGATGTCTTTTCCCCCTGGCAAATCGGCCGCCCCGCCACCTCCAAATTGTATGTCGGTGTCTCATTCCATGAGCCCTGTCAACTTGCAACCTCAGCTTATGACTTGGAAGTTGATTGTGTGTCATTCGGAACCATTTGTCAAAACAGATTCTGAGAGAGCGTCACCCCCGAGAGAGCGTGCCGTTGGTTCCCCCCCCGTCTCTCTTTCTCGCTGTCGCTGTCCGTTGTCTTCTCGTTTTTTTTTTCCCTTTGCCCCCGTGGTGTCCCTGGCGTGGGGCGGTCGTTTGGGTGTTTGCTTTTCAGGCTTGGATTCCGGCTATTGGGGGGGTTCTTGGCCTGTGGGCACTTTCTTTTTCTTTTTTTTTTTTTCTTTTTTTTTCTTTTCCTTTTCCTGTCCCCCTTTTTTCTGTCTGTTTTTTGTTTGCCCCTTCCCCCCGCTTGGTTTTCGGCGCTCCGTAGGGCCGGGCGGGGTTGGGTTGGTGCGGGGGCGGGCAATTTCACCACTAGAAAATAAGTGACTCATTTCCTTTTCCTTTCGTTTGCAACATCAACTCTCGACATGATATTAGTCCAACCCTTCAGATTGTGAGTTTTTCGTTCCCCTTCATTTGAAATGCCTGGTTCTGTCAATCAAAAGAGATCTTTTCAAATTTTTCCTTACCCCCGTCCTATCAGACGTGTGTAGTTGTTTAATTCTGTCAGGGACGTACGGTACTCGATTCGCGAGCCTAGTAGCTGCTGTCCCTCGGGACTGCCAGGGAAGTTTTGACCGTGCCGTCTTCTCTTGTTGTAGTTTGCAATACAAACCATATGGACTCTAGTGTGGGAGCACTACCTATACTACACTTGAAACGTAACCACCTAATCCATCATTCCATTAGCTGTATTGAACGGATCTTTGCTTTGCAGCACTCATTCAATCTCACGTGGTTGCCACCCCTAGTTCAGTAGTGATGATTCTTTGTGGTGGTGAACGGAACGATCAATAGCCTGTCACTGTCCCAAGCTTTCTGGTTCTTTTCTTCTGTTGTATCTTATTTAATGGTCAGTATGATTTAGTCAAAGTGTCAGGATAGTAACAATCAATGAAACCACTCGTTGTTTGAAGCTAAATCGAATTTCCGCACATAACAGACACTGTTCAGCTTATGATATCTTCCCATTGGCATTCAACGTTCTTTCAGTTTGTTAGTCTAGTCCTTGAGACTGTTAGGTGATGAGGGGAAGAGGAGAGGAGGGCAGAATGCTCTTAATTGAATAAGGGAGATGTATGGGTGATGATTGAATTTAGCAGCAGGCGAGCAGTTTAAAATTTTAAAAATGGAATTGTGTTACCTAGAGACAGTAAGTCATAGAAAAACCTAAAACGAAATGATAAAAAAAAAACATTGCCTAATGTCCCTCTCTCCGCCCTATTGGTCTAACCTGGCCTGGGCGAACAACCAGACGAAACTATACCACCATCGGTAAAAGAGGGCAGGCATGGCCTTGTTACGCGTCAGACCAGAGTCGGGAAAAGAGGATAGCATTCCACAATTTGTGGGGGCTGTTCTTTAAGGGACACCGGGGGGGATAAGGATTGAGGTCTATATTTCACGGGGAGCAAGAGAACTGACTTTGAGGAATACGAAAAGGTACCTTGCAAAGTTGTTCCTCAGTAAGGAAAGTGTCATTAGAGAGGGTCAACTGCTTACAATGAAGGGTTTAGCTCCTAGAGGTTGTGACAAAAATATTCACAATAAAGCGA